AGGTGGTTTGGACAAAAAAGCATTCCAAAAGCAAAAAAAAAATTCCAGAAGCAAAAAAAAAAAATTCAAAAGCAAAGAAAAGCATTCCAGAAGCAAAACAAATTAGAGAAGAAGAAGGAAAAAATGATTTTATTCAACTTTTTTGATATTTGGAAAACATTTTCATTCTGATAGGCCTACTTAATGATTTGCTTGCGGTTTTCAAAATTTTGATTAATACTTTTGGCACAAAATTAACTCCATAGAAATCCCACTGGCTAAAACGGGGTATAAAGCTAAGCTGTTAAAATAACAAACAGGTAGTGTCGACTTACGTGGTTGTTCCAAACCTACACATCCACACATCCGCGTTCTCCTAATAAAGCGACAAGATAGTAAGGTTCCAACCATGGGCATCTGTGCTTGGGGCAGCCGGCATCTTTAAATACCCTCTAAGGGCAGAGTTTCCACACGTCAGCCACCGCCTGCCCTTCTAACGTAATGGCAAAAGAACCAATGAAAACAATGGGGGGATTCCTGTCGCGGAAAAAGAGGGTCCAGCTGCAGATGCCTGTAGAGTGGAGCTCCACAGGAAACACGTGATCTTTAAGGACGTAAAGTGGAGCTCCGGTTAGGGTTAGGATTAGGGTTAAGGTTAGGGTTTATTCGCTGTAACACAGTCCAGCAGTCCACAGTCCAACGAGTAGAGATCACGTGTTTCCTGTGGAGGTGACGTATTTCCGGTGGAGCTCCACTCTACAGGTGTCTGCAGCTGGACCGTTCTCTCCAGAGCGACTCTCTGCTTTTCGAGTCTCCATTTTCTCCAGTAATATGAATAAGATTCTGGAGTAATAGGAAGATATTTTGCATTGCAAGGTAAGACTATTGTTAATTCAGTCACACATAATGACAAAGTAAAAACATGTTTGTAGAGATTTTTTAACATTTATTAACATGACCAGGACCACTTCCCCGTTTGACTGGAGGCAGATCATTTCCTGTCTGTAAAATGAAAGTGAAAGTATTTTATAGCGGAAGTCTCCTTTTTGCGAGAAACATGAATAAGATTTTGGAGTAATATAAAGATATTTTATATTGCAATATCAGATTACAGTTAACAGATACAGTTAACAGTTAAATAACCATGCACCTGTCTAAGGATAGGAACAATAATATAACTGTTATCCTAAAGTTAGGCGAGCTTATTTAGGATTTTGTGAAGTTAGGATGTATACAGCCCTAGGACAGAACGGACAAATTGGAGTTAAAATTCGACAATTCTATCGACTAGATTGTTGACATTATCAATTTATATTTCATACTAAGTTTTATCATGTCGGGGGAGGGCCCATAAAGTTCTATTTGCTCAGGGCCTCCAGAGTCCCTCTAATAGCCTCTGCATATCGAAGGTAGTTCCAGAACCCTCGTTAGTACGTTTTGTTATAACACAAACTACGGGGAAGCGCTTACAGTGATAGCTTGCTAATTGGTGACTGACCACAAGTACCGTTGCTAACACGGAAGTTACACGGTTACAGAAGTAGCAGAGTAAAAATGGAGCAGATGGAATAATTTTTGAACCCCAATTACATTTAATGCGTCAATACCGTAGCGCGGAGTTATTGGTGGGCAGCGCGGCATGTTGGACGGATCAGCCTTGTAAATAGTACTTAATAGTCGCTTATGTTGTTGTAAATGTGCTGTGTGTTATGTTATATATAGTGTTTAATGTTTATCGTAGCGTGTATCTGTGTGTGTGCGCGCGCCCACCGTGTGTATTCAGAGTAAGCGGGGCGACAAGCCCTAACCCTAACTCTTACCCTAACCCTAACCCCCCAAAACCCCTAAAACCCTTACCTTAACCCTAACCCTAACCCCTAAAACCTAACCCTAATCCCAAAACGGTGGAACTGCACATGCGCAGAAAGGCTCAATAGTACATCTCGATAGCTAGTATTTTTCGACAGAACAGCGGCACCTTGTATTTATGTTTTTTTTTTTTTCTACAGATCAGCTGAGGTAGGAATACGACAAAAATCCGCAGGGAAAAAGGAGCGTGGTCACAAATGTAATACGATCCACAAATAGACGGTAAGTGAACCACAAACATGCAAAACCCTATTCACATGAACAAAACGCTATTTTTTTGGATATGACTTTACACAACATAAATAGAATTACATGTTTATGAATAGTATTGTATTTGTGGTTTTTTTCCTACAGATCAGCTGCAATATACGGAGGTCTGGTGTGGGTGGGAAAATGTTTTTTGAAATCGTTTTGAGATCTCTGGCAATAGTTTTGCGTTCCGTCGTAATAGGCCTACTGTTCTGTTACTAATAATAATTTTATTGTGTCCGTTTAACCTCGCAATAGTTTCTCGTTATTAATAAATACTGTTCGTTTGACCTAGAAAACATAGGATTAATGGACTAATAAGTATACATCTAAATGATACAGACATGTCAGGTTAAGTGCCCTTTGCATTAAATTTTGGGGGACAGTGCACACTACAGATGTGGACAAATTTGTTGGTACCAGCTCATTGAAATAATGCTTCATTTCTTCTGAAAAGTTATTCAATTAAAAGCAATTGTCTAATGTATACCTGCATGTTATAGAGTAAACCAGTAAAATTGTGAAATGAAATTATTTGTTGTTTATTTTACAAAGATATGCTAAAATCGTATGGACAGATTTGTTGGTACCCCTAAAGAGATTACTTATCCTTGCATTATAGTCATGTTTCAAACTAAGTGTTTACCCTTAATTAGTATCACAGGTGCCTTCAAGCTCTTCATCAGCCACTCAGCCTATCTAAAAGGAAAGAACATGCTACTGTGTTGGTGTGTTGATCACATAACATGTATCATCCTTGAACCTTGAATCTGTGCAGGACACAATGAATTCTCAAGGACTACCAAGGCATCCTGGAGCGAAACATACAGCCCAGTGTCAGAAAGTTCAGCCTTAGTGTGTGAAGTGTACACACAAACAATGAAATATTAATTAAAATTTCCCCATAAAGAAATCTGGAAAATCAAGGGGTCACAGTTAAGGTTTAAACTCGAAACCAAAGTTGGCTTTATATGCAGTTTCCAGCTGTAATATCTTTCAATATCTGTGATATGTTTCAGTGTTTGTATGTGTGCACTTCACGTTCAATAGCCCAGCTGTCTTGCTGAGAGTCACTGGGTGTGAATGGACACAGTGAAATTATTAATACATACGTATAAAACACATAATAATAAAGTTACATGGTGTACAATGTCCCCCATAGTTTAATGCTTAAAGCACACTTTACAGGACATGTCTGTATTGCTTAGGTTTATCCATGTCGTCAGGTTACAGCAAATAGCAAGTGCGCAAGTGTAGTGGGAACTATTGTGAGTGAACACAGAACGATTTCAAAATATATCTTCCCACCCAGACCTCTTAGGGGCTCTGTAGTGGGATGAACTGGAGAAAAATCCACAAGTCAATAAGGGGGAAGTCACAAATGTAACGTACAGTAATACACAAACAGACAGGACGTGATCCACAAATGTGCAAAACACTTTTCACGTGTACAAATTGCTCTCTGTTTTTGTGGATATGATTTTACACAACATAAATAAAAAATACATATTTCTTGATTATGGTAAATATTTGATGCATTTTTTCTACAGATCAGCTGCGATACCAGTTGGACAAAAATTTGCAAATAAATAGAAGTAAAGTCACAAATGTTGCATGATCCACAAATGTGCAAAACACGTTTCACATGTACGAATCGCTTCATATTTTGTGAATACAATTTTACACAACACAAAAAAAAACATATTTGTGGATAGTTAAATATCCTACATATTTGTGGATTGTCTTCTGTGGGTTACAATTAATAAAGTCTAAGGGACTTTTAAACTGGGACCAGGTTCCAGAACTTCAGTGTGAAAGCGCCATAAAAGATTTTTAGAAGCAGAAGCCAGGATAAGCTATGTAGGATAATATCCATCCATCCATTTTCCAAACCGCATATCCTTCTGGGTCACGGGGGGTCCGGAGCCTATTCTGTAGGATAATAACATAAATAAATTCTAAGTTCTACCTCACACAGCCCCCATGTGTATTTTGGACAAAAAAGTATACTACATACTGTATATAAAAAACAGTGAACCCCAAAACAGAATGGAGACACCATGTGTAAATTCAATGTGTTCAGTGTGTCAATGTGTTCATTGTGTAAAGCAGGGGTGTCAAACTGGAGTCCTGGGGGGCCGGAGCCCTGTGTAGCTTAGTTCTTTCCCTGTTCCACCACAAATGATTCAGCTCAACAGCTATGTGGTAATTAGCACAAGGAGTTGAATCAGGTGTGTTAAACGAGGGGAAACCCAAAAATGTGCAGGGCTCCGGCCCTCCAGGACTGGAGTCTGACACCTGTGGTGTAAAGTGTTGAGTACTGTCTCTGAGGGGGGCAGGGCAAGCCAGCTTATTCAGGGCCCCAGCTGAGGCCAACATAAACCAATTATTACAAACTATAGTGCTGCTACTGCTTGGTCATTGTGATGTAGATGTAGCTATAATAAAGAATAATAACTAACCAACCGCTGACAATCTACAGTGTGATCTTTCTAGACTAGCCAGTGCAAAACAGTAGTATGGCCATGCAGGTTACATTAGCCTAAGCTATGTGATCATATGTCCAATATTGGATTTACATTAAGTGAACCTCCAGGGTGTATTTAGCAGCAGTGTAACTGTACACAAAACTTATGCTTTGAATCCATGCATTTGTCAACCTGTTTGAATAATAATACATAAGAATCATGTTTTCCATAGTGAACATTTACTTGAGATTTTAGGTTCCCCCCTGTGCCAATAAATGTATTTATGTATTTCATTGTGTGTACCAAACCGAAAGTGGTGTATGAAATGGTACACAATGAATGCCCGTACCATTACAGCCCTAATATTTAGGCAAAATGACATATTCAGATGAAATGTGGCAGCATACAAGCAATGAAAAAAATATCATTAGCTAGGCAAGTTTCCGTTTTCAGGCGGCACAACGGTTGCATTGCCCTAACAACAGTTCTGAGCAGCAGATATTGTGTATGTATATATTTTTTACCCTTCGTTTTCACAGAAGCCCCAGCAGGAGTCATCTGGTCTCAATCGGCACAAAAATGAAGCGAGCTGCTTCTGAAATGAGCCCCCCTGTGGGGTGTAAAACAAAGAGAACTGAGAGGTAAGACAGAAGCTATGTCTGTTTGAACTACTTTTAACGTAATACGTTTCCTCTAGAGCAGTGATTCTCAAATTTTTCGCAATAAGTATCATCTCAGAAAGTATTTGACTGTCCAAATACCACCTTTATGATCGGCATTAAAATACAGCAGCGTAGGCCTTATTTTATTCATAATATGAATAATATTTAGTATTTACTGTAATCCTCAGCCAAAATCGAGTGACAACATAAACAACTATATGGCATTCACGGCAAGTGACCATAATAACCACTGCAATGCATGTAAACACTCACGGCAAGTGACCATAATAACCACTGCACTGCATGTAAACACTCACGGCAAGTGACCATAATAACCATTGTACTGCATGTAAACACTCACAGCAAGTGACCATAATAACCACTGCACTGCATGTAAACACTCACAGCAAGTGTCCATAATAACCACTGTACTGCATATAAACACTCACAGCAAGTGACCATAGTAACCACTGCACTGCATGTAAACATGTACTTCCCCAAGCACTGCTCCCTAGGTGCTGAATTAGCTGCTCCCTGCTATGTCACATATCAAATTCAGAGGACACATTTTGTTGTTGTGTGCTGTGGTTGGTGTGTCATCACCGATCATTTAATTCAAGTAAAAATACATTAATGTAGTAAATAAGTAGTTAATGTTTAGTAATAATCGACTGTGGTGAGTTTTGAAAGGAAGGACCCACCACACCCTCTACTTACATATGAGAAATTCTGTTGGCAAAGAGGTTGATGATGGTTTATTTTGATACCTCGATTTGCAGCAGGAATTCTGTACTGCTTCCCTTTTTTATAAATCTTTTAGTAATTTTATGAGTAAGGCCTCTCCCAATATGTTGGTGCTCTGGCAGAGAGATTTAGGCATAGATATCGAACAAGGGAAATGGCCAAACATTTTGGCAGATTGTGGCAAATTCATGAGGGAAACAAGAGGAAAGTTCACGCGGTATAAAATACTGCACAGGCATTATGACTGTACAGAATGAGGCTGTTGAATGATAATAGGTGCTGGACGTGGTAAATAGAGACAGGAACTTTGTTGCATTGTATATGGGAATGTCCCCTGATCAGGACTTTCTGGATTGTAGTTTTAAAGATATTGAGTAGCTGGTATGGATCAGATGTTCCTCTGTCCCCAGGGCTGTGTTAGCTAGCAGACAATTTTGAGGCACTAGAGATCCCACTAGGATAGAGCCCCAATGTGAAAGAATGGATCGGGCCATGGTGGAAATAGTGTCATATGAGTGAATGCTCATTAAATTGAAAGGAGATTTCGGACTCATATGAAAATAATAATTGATACTTTTTTTATTGATCCCGTATGGAAATTGTCTTTTTACGCCTCCCTCAACTTGAGGAGCTCAGTGATGCCCTGGTCCAGATCTGGATGGAGATCCCCCAGGACACCATCTGTTGTCTCATTAGGAGGATGCCCTGACAATGTCAGGTATGCATACAAGCACGTGGGGACGACACAAACTACTGAGTACGATTTCGAGTTGCTGCAATGAAATTTCGGCAAAATGGACTAGCCTGCCACGTCATTTTTTTCACTTTAATTTTTGCGGTGTCTTTTAATTCAGCTCTCTGTAGGTTGATAATTTTTATTTCCATTAAACAATGTGGCATCCTTTCATTCCTAACACATTACTCAGTCCATATCAGTATGATTTTTTCCCATTGAGATCTGATGTGTCTTCAAAGTGTTCCTTTAATTTTCTTTGAGCAGCGTATAAACAAATTAATCAATAGACGAGAAAATGCAACAACAGCCAAATCTAGTGAAAGAGGATGTAAGAATGATACTAAGTGTTTCATACTGGAATCGTAATTTTAGATTAGACACTTTATTTCACATTAAAGCTGATTGTAAACAAGTATGTTTGCACCAAGAGCTTCACAGCATGTGAAAGTACATGATGGCAGAGCAGAAGGCTAAACAGCTGAAGATTTAATGTGACCCTGTCCACATTATATGGATTATATTTATATAATAAGGATTTATCCTCTCACTGTCCACAGTGTCCTGATGGAGAGAGCAGGCTCACCTGTACCCAGCTGTGTTTCCATGAAGAGTGACAGGTCAATGACCCAACCAATCACCTTCAGAGAGGGACCTTTTCCATCAGATCAAAGGTAAATATGCATTTAAACAAACACTGTTTAAAACACTCAGACTCTCAGTCAAAAGGCATAACAGCACACAAAAGCTATGCGTCTGCTAGAAAGCTGAAGACGAAGAGGAGTTTCACTTTTCAGCACGACAATGACCCCAAACATATATCCAAATCAACAAAAGAATGGTTTCACCATAAGAAAATTAAAGCTTTAGAATGGCCCAGCCAGAGTCCAGACCTAAATCCAACTGACAATCTATGGGGTGACCTGGAGAGGGCTCTGCACAAGAGGTGCCCCCACAATCTGACAGATTTGGAACAGTTTTGCTAGGAACAGTGGGCAAATACTGCCATGTCAAGATGTGACATGCTGATAGACTCCTACCCAAAAAGACTGAATGCTGTAATTAAATCAAAAGGTGTTTCAACAAAGTATTAGTTCAAGGGTGTGCACACTTATACAACCAGCCTATTTTATGTTCTGTATTTTCTATATTTTCCCCCTAACAGATTTGTTTGTTTTTCAATTGAATTGTATAAGTTATAGGTTACATTAAAGGTGGGATATAGTTTTGAAACGATTTATCATGATCTGATGTTTTTACATCACAAAACCCAGCATTTTAACATCGGTGTATACACTTTTGATAAAGAGAACTGTAGGTCCCCCCCCTTCCCCCCCTCAATAATATACACTTAATAGACATGCTTCTCGAATGAAAATATGAAGTATGTATGGGTATAAGGGTGTGTGTATATAGATATATATGTATTTTTGGGGAGGTATGTCAAGTACCAGGCCTTTGAAAGAAAATCATTAAAGGAAAAGAAAAAACATGGCATTGAGTATTTTTAAGTCTAATCAATGACAAATACCAGCTATTGATCATTGAAGTAATACCGAAAAAGACAGGAACACTGTCAGGGTCGTGTTGGGAAGAACATGGTGATTTATGGTAAAATGATTGTTACAGCCCAATAGCTGCATGTCTCTTTGGGTCTATAGTCAGGCCATAATATAAAAGCAGAAAGGGTTCCTAGCTATGACTGGCTCAGTGTGGAACATGTTAATGCGTGTAGATTAATAAACAGACCTCAGCATCTTCTTTCTTCTCATTTTTCTTCCACAGTCAGCCAGTTCTTTTGTAATAGAGGCAAGAAACAGACCATCTATCTTAACAAAAATGGTCACAAATAGTGAAGTAGAGTGCAAATAAATTAATATACACTGCTCAAAAAAAGTTAAAGGAACACTTTTTTTTTTTTTAAATGAAGTTTTTATTGGTTTTCTTAAACATAACATACAAGTACAAAAATCCAACAACAGCTAGGTTAATGTACTATTTACAAAACGAAAACAAAACCAGGAAGAAAAAAAAAATGGACACAACAATGGTGATCACTGAGTAATAACCAGAGATAGCACCGTAGAGCACAACAGGTTAGGCAAGTCACAATCTAAACATGGATCTATTATCAGTCATCCTTTGAAACCACAGTCTGAATAAATTTCTCCCATATGTCCACATCTCTATAATTTT